GTACCTATACCAAAAAACCCAACTTATTATGCTGCAAGGCATGTCTCATCCTTGGGTAACATGGCTCCAACAAAGGGTTATGGGTCTAGTTAAGGCTCATCAGCTTGTTCCCCATCCAATAGCGCTTAAAGTCCATGTTTGCAGTATCTCCAATCCATTAACCAAAAAATACCCACTAAAGTTTTTATTTACATCTCGAGGTTTTCCTCAAACCCAGCCCCTATGAAAACTTATTTTCATAACCCAGTCACTTTTAAACATAATTCTCAAATCCAGTCTTTTTTTCAAAACGTCATTTGCAATGACGGCTCCATATGGTAAAACGTCATTTTCAATGATGATTTAAATTTGAATTTTTTGACTCAAATTAACATTAGGAATAATGTTTTTAAAGTCGTCAGTTTTAATGACATTTTGTAAAATAAAATTTCAAATGGCTGCTAATGGGCGTTGAAAAAAAATTGGAGGAAAAAAATGTCATTTGCAATGACATTTTTAAATACTTTACATCTCAGATTTTGTAAAACAACTATCGCATCTCTCTCTCAGCTCACTCTCAGTCAGATCCCTTCTCTCAGACCACATCCCTTCTCTCGCTCAGATGCCTCTCTCAGATCCCCTGTGCTCCTCGTCCACCATCCAGTCGTAGCCCCCCATCTTCTTCGACAAGGATGCGTAGTCTGACGAAGAGGAACACTCCGGCTGTGCTCTCTCCCTTTCTCCGATGGTGCTCTCTCCATTTCTCTCCAATTTTTTCGGTATTTTCCACCCTGTATGTGTTAAAATATACTACATGTATACTAAATGTATGGTATAGTACTGGAGTTTGGGATTTATACGTGCTTCTTCCATTAACCCTTCTTCAGCACGGACATCTCGACATCAGAAATACATCCAACTTCAAAACTAAGAAGGAAACTTATACATGCTTCTTCCATTAACCCTTCTTCAGCATGTTCTCGTGCGATGCTACGGAGGTTGTAACGATTAAGACGAATTGTCATGCGATTGTTCTTAGCTTAAAAATGATACAATGCTCGCTCCAGTTGTTGAGGTGTCTCAACTGGCATATGGATGGCAATTGGTCGAGACTTTCGTAAATTGCCAGTTTGCATATCTCTAATAAAATTTTCTTGCTCCGTGAGATGATATTGCAATTTGGCCCTCATGGTTCTTATGGCCCTACTAGAATAACGTAAACGAGAATTCATTGAATAGAAGAACTTATCCTCTAAGTCGTAATGATAACCCATATTTTCATATAAAGTTCTAGCACTATAATTCAGGTTGAAAATGAGTTTTCTTCACTTACTTGGTTAAAGATGATGAATATATAGTGAATACAAAAATCTCCAAACAACTAACCATATCAATACAAACATTATTTTGAAGTGACAACTAACTGCTCTATCATAATGCCGAAGAAGAAAAAGTAACTACTCGTGATTACTAAATTTCATGTGTTAAATTGACTACACACTGAATTGATTTCAACAGACCATGTGAAGTTACAAAACCATGCATGGGTTTCAACATAACATGTGTTGAACTAACTTAACCCTGAATGGGTTTCTGCATACCATGTGTTGAAGTGACAACACACAATTGATAAGGGCAAAGACTGAAATGACCTTACAATGGTCTGCTAAATGACGATACCATATATAACCTCTGATCATTGCACTATTTCACTATTGCCTGATGTGACCTGTCTAACATAGTAGGAGTAGGACACTACTATTTAAACACCATTTTGTGGTTGATATGACAAACACAACATTATGTCTACATCAAATTTCTCTACGAGCGTTAACAATCGTTGACGTGAACGGGTTTGGTTGTTACAAGAGCGGAAAGATGATTACAAGAGTGAGAGATTTTCTGATCCAAAAGAGTATTATGCAGGAGTACGACGAGAGTGGGCTTTTTGTGCTAAAGAATCAGATGAACTATTTACACAACTAAAAGAACTTGGCATACTAATACCTCGTAGACGATCACTAACAATGCAATGCCGAAATAGAGAGGACTACGAATCAGCAATAAAACAAGTTTGAAGAGAGAATAATAGAATGTTGGTTTATAGGTCTCACTATTATATGCTCCAACAAGCAAAAGACATAATGAGAACTGCACATGGACGAGAGTTGACACCAGTTGAGCAAAATAATATATGTCAGATGATTATATGTCTGATGAAACTTAACAAAGTCTGCATTTGTTCATTAGTGAGATAGCAAGTCTGTCTAACCAGTGTAGTGTCAAGTCATGTCAGTGCTTTGTATTTGAATATTTATGTATTTACTTTTTCATTGTGAACTCATTTCATTTCTTTGTCACTGTAGTCAGTCTAGTGACACGTCATGTCTTTCCTTTTGTCATTCATGAGTTATGTCATTACTTTATCAGTGTGGAGTCATATCATTACTTTATCAGTATGTAGTCAATCTAGTGACAAGTCATGTCAGTCCTACTTTATCAGTCTAGTGACAATTCATATCAGTCCTTTTGTCATTCACGAGTTATGTCATTACTTTATCACTGTGGAGTCATATCATTACTTTACCTATGTCAAGTCATGTTAGTCATACCTAGTAATTTTTCTATCAAATTTGTATATAATTGTATTTCGTGTTTATATAAACCATCCTTATTAATTTTGTATATCATAACCCAAAATATGTCTAGGCACACATCTAAGAGGCAATCCAGTCAAATCAACCAAGGTTCTTCATCACTCAATGAACAACAAATTTCATCTTCATCCTACGAACGTCAACACTCGATTGGCCGAGCAGCATGTGGTGTAAACGTTGTTCGTTCAATTGAATCCTACATAGATTCTATCGATGTAACTTGGTATGGACAAAAGCGTGAGTTCTGTAATGAGCCTATTGACCCTTATCACTCATTCGGTCAAGTAGGACACATATTTTTGGGGCCTGCGACCAACTATCCGCGTCTGAGTGTTTGTATCGAACCCACGCCAAGATGGCAACAATTATATGACAAATATTGTGAACTTTGAAGTACACTGTCATTGACATGAATTAATGGTACCGAAAGCACGTTCAGCTGATATATATGATCCACAAAACTCTACCAACCATCACGAGATCATAACAAAGCTTGAACGTGAAAATGATCAGATGCAACGTAGACTTGATCGTTTGCATGCAATAGACCATGCAAAAATTAAGCATTTCGATCCTGATTATGCTGAGATTGAAATTTTGCTGGGTCCGTTACTTGTTTCAGATACAGAACTCTTTGACTATTCTGATTTAAGTGATGATGCGTCTGATACTTTTATTCTATCAAGTTTATGTATACTCGACAACCCTCTATGTTGTTTTCTACATCAACCAAAATATTGACAGAATGTATTTTTTTACAATGTCATGTAATAAAATTGTTTTTTTTTTTTAATGTATAAGTATCTTTTTCCATATTTTTAAGTTTTGTTTGTCGTTTCTTTGCATGTATTTCTTTTAACCCCTATTAAGTTTGCCATTTCAAACCTAATGATATGTTTTCAAAAAAAAAAAAATGAATTTGGGAAATAAAGTTTTAGGGCGACTTGATTTGGGAAAAAGCTCGTCTAGCTTGGGATGCTTTTATAACGTGGGAAGTGAGATTATACTATTGAAATTTTTTTAATGAATTTAGAAAAGCATGGATTAAATACATACTTTATGATATAGAAGTGTGCTTTCAAAACCCGTTTTTAAGTTTTTCTATTAACAAATTTGTTTTACAAATATGTTTTTATATTGAAAAATATGAGTTTAAAATTATGCTTTTATGAGATTTATTTTCGATTAGAACATAAGTTCAAAATTATTATGAAAAGGGAATTAAATTCTAACATTTATTCAATTTTTTTTTTAATGGTGGATCATGATGTGAGACATAAGGTGGAGTTTTATAAGCTTTTTTGAAATGTATTACAAAAGTTAGTTGCAAGATAGGAATAGAAAAACGTCATTTTGTAATAAACGTTTAGGGTTTAAGAATAGAAAAACGTCATTTTGTAATAAACGTTTAGGGTTTAAGAATAGAAAAACGTTTTTTATAATCGAGACTGCAGTTGCATCATAATATAAATTCATAATACAAAAAAACAATGACACAAGAAAAAAAAAGTGACACAAGAAAAAAAATAGTGACACATGAAAAAAAGGGGTAAATTACATGGACACCCCATGACATTTTGATTTATTACAAGGACACCCCTGACGTTTCATAAATGATACTCAGACCCCAATGACGTTAGAAATGAAACGTTGCTAATAGAAAATGCAAAATGACAATCTTACCCTGCTTTTGTTATCAAAAAAAATAAAATAAAATTGACAATTCAATTCAAAATCAAAATGATTTTAATAACCTTGCAAAATATCTTTGTACTGAACTAAACCCTAAACACCATTCGTCACATCTAGAGAAAAGGCATGAGAAAGAACCCAAATCATCTTTGACAGAAGAGAGAATCGATTCAACCCCAAATCGTGCATACTCCACTCCAAATTCAGAGATACCCAAACCCTAAACCACTATCACCATGCTTGAATCAAAGCAATCCTAACCCTAATCCCCCATCCTTTTTATCTGTTTCAAAAATCCTAAACTTAAGCCACTCTAAGGATGTTTCGATCTAGATCAAACAAACCTTTAAACTAACCTAGAAAGGGTGATGTCTGGATTTGGTTCTTCATCTTCCTTACGAAGCATCTCATTTAAAGCATCTTGGTTCTGGTTCTGGATCTGACTCTTCAATCCATCACAAGTTTGGCACATATTTAGATTTGATCTTTTTCACTTTTCATTATGTTGTCATTTTTTGGCCATTTAAAGGATTTTTGTTAGTTACCTAGTAAGAGACATTTCTGACATTTGGTCTACAGAAATGGATGAGCGGGAGAATGACATTGTTGTTCATTTTAAGAACCTATTTCACCATTAATATGGTCAACCCTGATAGGTATTGTTGTATGGATATGGTGACAAATGTTGCAGAAGTTACCAATGTTTTTATTGGTGATAGTATATTGAAGGTAATGATTGCTATTACATTTTTAAGGCCAGAGGGTAGTGGAAAACTTGTACTTGATGGTGATGAACAATTACAGAAAATATTATCTTTGTATAGAAATTGTAAAGAGATACATGTATTTGTGATTGCTGAAGTTGGGTCTCAGGTGGGACTCCCACCTTCTCCAGATGTAGGAATAGGTGAAGAGCCAAATCTAGATGAAATTAATGACAATGAACCTAATGGTGAAAATGATGACAAGGATGCAAATAGGCATAAAGTTGATGATGTAAATGGGGATGAATATACAGGTGGGGGTGGTGAAAATGATGAAAGGGATGCGAATAGTCATAAAGTTGATGATGTAAATGGGGATGAACATATGAGTGAGGGTGGTGAAAATGATGACAATGTTTATGGTTTCAGTTTTGAGGATGAGGACTGGATTGTTGAGGGTGATGATGTCCCAAATGTTAGGTATGAGTCTCATGATGATACCATCAACACACAATTAAATGAAAATAGTGACGATGGATTTTCAGATTATCAATCAAGGGATGAAGGCTATGTTAGTAGTACAGATTTGAAGGAACTTGAGGCTGAAGTAGATGAAATACATATAAAGGGGTAAGAAAATAAAGTTCAATGTCAGTAATACTTCAGAATTTTGAGTGGAGTTTAATGTTCTTGAAGATGGATTGGAAACATTGATCGAGACTTTTGTGTGGGGATGTTGTTTGGAATTGTGGACTTTTTTAGACATGCATTGAAGGATTATATTATAAAAACAGGGATAAAATTGATCAGGAAGAAAAATGAGAGAACTAGAGTTATCGTTGAGTGCGCTGTTGAGGGGTGCCAGTGGAGGATTCATGCATCCCCTCTACCAGATCAACCTACTTTGAAAGTAAGGTGTTACGCCCCTAAAATTAGGTGTTCTTAATTAACCGTTGATCACCCATTAATCTTCGGAAGTACCCGTGATCATCATACAATCCCTTAACCGAGATCTTAACCCACACGTATAGCCCTTACACATCAAATCAGAGTCATTAATGTCCCATATAACCTCCTTGAATACAAGGAATCGATGCCCAAGAGCTTAGTAAAACATTTCAAAAATTTGAAGTTTAGAGAAAACCAACTAGTAGAAGTGCTCAAGGTTCTACCAATAGAAGTAGTGCACTGGACTTCTATTATTTATTTTTATTTTTTTTTTTGAAAATCTATGAAAACCTACCGGTAGAAGAAGTCCTTATTCTACCGGTAGAAATGGCCTACTGGAATTCTTCTACTAGTAGGAACAATGACATTCTACCTATAGGAAAACCCTATTGGAAAACTTCTACCAGCTAAGCCTATCGGTAGAAACTGCCTACTGGGCACATCTACCTGTAGAAAAACAAAAAAGTTCTACCGATAGTTGTGCCCAGTTTTGTCTATTTCATCCGTTTCGATTTTCAATCCATTACAACCAATTCTATACCAACCCAACACATGTATAATGAAGTTTTGAAATAAAACATAGTTCGTACAGGTTTGATTATAGTCAATTTCATGTATTTACATGCCCAAAACTAAAATTCTATAATGGTTTTTCAAAAGCACAAGATAAAGCCATAATTCGGCTATTTTCATCCTTGAGGCCCCCAATGAGAGCCGATGTATATCCCGCACTTGAAATATTTTCTCATAAAAAGTGAGTCATGCTCAATAGGGTATCTCCTAAAAAGGCTACTCCTTAACCTAGATGCATATGAAATGTTCACATGCACAATTTAACAAGCAACAACATTCCAATCAATAATATGCAATTCAATGTTGGAAATTACCATGTCATACCATTATATGAGATGAGACTCACTCATGCACTTCAACCCTGAGCCTTCACCGGATCCCTCAACACATGCAAATGTCATGCATGTTACTCCGGGTATTCCAAGCCCTCGCCATTGATATTACACATTCAGTGACCATTAAATTCCCCGGATCTTTCTTGGGGTGAGTATTTACGGACTTCCACAAATAGTCACCCAACTAACATGGCATTTATGGACTTCCACCAACGGCTCCGCATACGCCGACACACTTTATGAACTCGATACCAACATAGTGTGTATCAAAAGTAACCGGGTCTTGCACTCGAGGGATAGTCTAACCCTTCTTGCTAACCCCAACCTAATTTTCAATGCAAATCATGCTACTCAACTAGGCCTTGACCCAACTTTCCCGAAATGCTTGACAAACTTCCTTGTTGTTTCCTAACCTATAAACATTACCTTTTAGCATATATAGTATATGAATGAAGGGGTNGTCGTCCGAAAATCACCTTCTTGGTTTGACACTTGCCTTCCCCGGCAACGGCGCCAAAAATGCTTGACAAATTTCCTTGTTGTTTCCTAACCTATAAACATCACCTTTTAGCATGTATAGTATATGAATAAAGGGGAGTGTCACTCTCCTAGGGATGATGTCAAAAGAAAGGGCAACGAAATGGTGGATGAATGAGATTTCAAATGTGAGTGTGTGTAAACAAAAGTGTTCCCCAAGCGCAATGAGACGTTCGCGGATCGTGTTTTACTTGGTGGTATTCCAAGGTCGTTTCCACGGGGAAGGAAGTAAACCGAGGGGAAGGTGATTTTGGGAGAAAGAAAGTGTAAAATCTTTGATTGTTGGAAGTTGTTTGGTGAAGTTGTTTTGATGCTAGTAAAATGAGAAACAAATGTTGGCAAATCCAAGAGGTCACTCCAATAGGAATACCGTCTCAACTCGAAACCCTCCTCCAATAGAGCATGAATGAACGATTGATTCGTGGGAAGCTAGGGGTAAGATTGGTGAGTATCTAAGCATAAACCGTGACTAGGCCTACGGAATATCAAAGACTCACCAAGTTATCCACCCTCAACCCAGTCAAACCGAACCATTGAACTCTGAAAGAAGGGAGGAGAATGAGTTGAAATGGTATACCCAAGTGGAGGTTCCTCTTGGTTTTGCCAACTAAGAGATTTAGCTATTCATGCTTAAAATAAAGACAACAATATGATGAGAAGACATTATGAAAAAATAAAGACTAAAGCTAAGCATAAACGAATTGCATAAATTTAACTTTCGGATAACCACCTCTTACTAAAGATTGGTTGAGAAACTACTCACTCTTCATGGCTTTGTTAAAGCTAGAAAAGTGAGTGATACTCATCCCTCTAAGTAGAGGAGTTTTCGACAAAGAATGAGTGAATCACATTCCACCCTTCACGGCTTTGGTAAAACTCTAGAAAAGTGGAAGAGTTTCACTCCTCTAAGGGAAGAAGGAAGCTCAAGCAATGGAAATAAAAGAAAGCAATAACACAATAACAGAAAGCAATACTTAATGTAAAAGAAAGCAATAAATTAAAAGAAAACAATAATACAATAAAAGAAAACAATACTTAAAGAAAGCAATAAACAATAAGGAAAACAATAATAATTTTGGAGTATTTTTCACTACCAAAAGATGAATGCTTTACAAGTCCTAAGGGGTGGTATTTATAGACAACAAGGGAGGGTGAAAGTCTTGTTAGGTGGCTTTGAATCTTGTTAGGTGACTTTGAAACTTGTTAGGTGGCCTCGAAAAGTCTTGTTTGGTAGCATGAAAGTCTTATTAGGTGATCTTGAATCTTGTTAGGTGTCATGAAAGTCTTGTTAGGTGGCTCTGAATTCTTTGATCCCCCTTTGTTTTGAGTTTTGATAATTGGCACCCCAGTAGTTTGTAGCTTTAATGCAATTGGCTTCCCAGTAGTTTGTAGCTTTAATACAATTGGCTTCCCAGTAGTTTGTAGCTTTGACGTACAAAACCCTGAAAAGAACAACAATTAATGCACTATCCTTTATTCATACACTAACTCTAATTTGATTTATTTTGACTAGTTTACTTTATTCAACTAACACAATTTACCTATTAAATTATGTCTTAATTAGGGTTAATCACCCGAGCCCACACATCATTCACTAAAAGTGGCATTTGATGACAATTATGCACACACACCCACACTCATGCCTAATACTCATGAATGCGATGCCTCCATGTATATGCAATGTAGTGTACAATTGCAACACTATAATCATGTTCAATATGTTATGAGTGTCATACGAACTATATCCACCTCATTTCAACATATACCATGGTCAATTATATCATAAGCATATAATTACCATAAATCATCTTAAAGTCAATACATCACCAAATATGTATCAACATTTTAACCAACAATAATTTCTAAGCAGGTTATCACATAATCTAATGGAAATAACACACTTAATTCTCCAAGTCATAATATAAACACATAGCATGCCCACATATAAAAAATTTTCAAGAAGTTACAAGCTAGCAATTTCTAAATATCAATTCATGATATAATTGATTTTTACCTAATTCCAATACTCATTTCATCAATTAACATCAATAGGCAAGTGTTAGACACCTCTAACACCCTACCCATTCAATATTATCACCCTAGGTTAAAAATAAGCTTAATTAGGGAGAAAACACTACCTCTTGAAGCGTAAACGATGTTAGGAAGCTCTAAGAATCCCAAATCTTGCCAAAAGCCCTTGATTTATCCAAGCCTATTTTTGGAATTTCATCCAAATCCATTTTTTTTTGTATGGTTGTGTAGCCCTCAATGAGGAGAACAATTTTTGTTCTTGAGTTGAGTTGATTTGAGGAAAGCTTAGCCCTAGATTGTAAAGAGAAGGTATGAAATCCTTCCCCTTTCTCTGTCTTCTTCCTTTATCTTTACTAACGAGTACAGGCTAAGAAAATGGGGAAGAAAATCTGATTTTCTTCCCCTTTTATACTCTCCAAATACTTGATACAAAATTCGCCACACGTTCTCACTTCCCGAGTTCGGTTTTGACCCATATCGATTAAATTTTATTCCGATTTAAGTTCAAAATATTTTTATTTCAACTATCTTTAAATTATTTTCCATATTTTTTAAATTTAATTATTGAGTTCATTATGAGGTCACACGACACCCGGTCGCCTCGTAAAACATGAAAAATTCGACTGTATTAGAATTCGATGAAAATTAATAGGGTAGCTAGATTTTGCGAGATAAACCCAACAGTGAGGTTTGTTGTCATCTGAGTTCTAGAAAAATTTAATTTTTCAACCCGTACCATAGTGACAAATTACTGTTTTATCATTTTTCATAAAAAATTAAAATTACTTGAATTTTACATAAGGAATTACAATAAAGATCACAATTGTATTAGGTGTAGAAAGGTGTCTGAAGCAAAATCTTGGATTACTAAAAATTTTAGAAGGGAGATAAAAAAAAACCCAACATGACCCTAGAAACTTTACAATATGAGTTGTAGGATAAGAGGGAAATTGAGACCAACCCTACTTAGTTATACAGGGGGTTTTAGAAGAAATAGAAGGTCATCATGGAAAATCTTTTGGATTACTACCAACATATGTTAGGGAAGTAAGGAGGAGTATCCCTGTTAGTGTTATTAAACTTGATTATTTCAAGAAATCTATATGTGATAAACCATTGTCAAAAGAATCTTCATTTCTTTTGCTGCACTAAAAAATGGTTTTAGGGAGGTTGCAGACCTTTTATTAGGGTTGATGGTTGTCACCTGAAG